TGTCCGGAAACTGTACCGCGCTGTTCCAGGGCAGGCATGATCTCGTAGATCCGAATCACCGCAGGATATCGCTGTTGGTTTGGTGCACATTAACGCTTCAAGTAAAATCAAGCTACATTTCAACAACCCAGTGTTGATGTTTCAGAAAATTAACAAAATATGTTCGATCAAGGCTCTAACGAGGTGTGAAACGTCAAACGTCTTTCTTGAGCGAATAAAACGAACAGTAAGATAAATAAAGCAAGCAATAAAAGATTTATTTTGAGCTGTGAGAATATCTAAACATCAAAATGATAGAAATGACAGGTGTAGTAGTTTATCAACACCACTGTGGATCACGAAATAAACCAATTATTGGGATCAGAGCATGGAAAGTTAAAAGCACGTGCTTTTGTTCATAAGCCATTATAATCACATTCATGCAGAAAAATAACACAAAGGACGATGTATTGACGTAAGACATTTGATAACACTTATTGGGAGAAAATGGGGCGGAAAAGGATCAGGTTGTTCCCTATTTCCTGTGTTCAGACACAAAGAGGTTATGCGGTCGTCGAATATTGATTGAAGTTATCACTCCGTTTCAATTCCCATTAAGGACGTTTGACTGCCTAATCCTGCAAAACGGAGTTTGAGGAGTACATAATTTTCTCTGCCCCAGGAATAGGCATTGGTTTGGCATTGATCTTTATAGAGCACTCCAAATTGATGAAAGTTGCAGGATAACCATTTTCTAAAGGGGTCTTCAACAAAAATGATAATTGTCTTCAAAGCTGCAAATCCATACTCTAACTAAAAGGTAGCTTACCAAGTTGCGCTTGTAGGCGAGCAGCATGGAACTATTTTGCCATGAAAATACCAACAAAGATTAATCCTAAATGCATCCTAATGACAGCTTTGGTTTTAGCGGCGGTGGTATTGTGCTGATCCTACCCTACAAGATGACGCAAAACACGGTCCGACGTATTACTTTTTCTGGGCAAGCAATCGTAGACCAATCGTGTAAAAGAATCAGAAGCCATGCCGGTCAAACGGAAGCTGTATCAGGTCAAGAATGAGAGCAAGCTATTGGCGAAGACCTGGTTAACCTATAATGTTCTTCGTACATATCATTTAGTCCCTGCGTCTGGCTGACCGGGGATCTCAGTGTACCACTTATTTGAGGTCGTAAAATGTTGTTCCTACGGGTTTTTGTCTATCGCATTGAATTCACACGTTAAGCTCAATTTCTCTAGCAACGTTTCGTTGATGAGCAGGGAGTAGAAGTCAACAGAATAGAAATTTTTCCTGATATGTTTTTTTACGGCATCCATAATTGCAAACATGTTCCATTGTGTAGTTTGCTAGTTAAATTATGATCATCTGGAAACGCTGATTGATCGTAAATGGTCTCAAAGAGAAAGTGACTGCCCTTGTAACTCCCTTTCGGGAAAGATCTAACAACCTAAAGAGGTAGTAGGTAATTTTATACCGCAATGGGTCGAAACACTAGGCATCTATACAAACGCGTTAATTAAAATCACTCAATGTGACCTCGACGCGATGAGAAGAGGGATAGATTTGAAGTTCGATTAGCACACCTTTGGGTCGATATTGAGTATCTTACGGACACTGATTCGGGTTTTATCATCATTTACCCACAACCACAATACAAATTCAAAATTGTTGGCATAAAATTGCTGTCTGGGAGCGGAAGCAATTACCAGAATTGCTTGCAAATAGCACCAGTTCAGGCACATTGACCTCCTTTGACTTAATTGACGCACATCAAGCTGGAACAGAGCGACAGCCCGGAATCATTTGCCAACAGTTACGTAACCCGCCTGTGTCAGAACATGAGAACTAGTCAGAAACATGTTGTTCCCTCAACTCATTGATCTGGTGAATTGAAAACCGCTTAACAGCGCCACATCACCCTATCCTTGTAGTCGTTCAAAATTATGATTATAACGGCGGTTATAGTACGATTTGTCCAACGAAGATGGGTGCATTTGTTGACTTCACTGTATTTCACATAGTTCAAGTTATACAAATATGTACAATTTAGCATTACGAGCTCTTTTAAAGGAGAAAGAGTGTAAAACTTCATAGAAATTGAACAAATGCCATTTGAATACATTTTAAACACGTTTGGGAAGAAAAAAGTGTAATGGGAGGAAAAGCATTTTTGAAATGACTTAATTTGAAGACAAAAGAAACGGGTTTGCATAATACAAGGTCATTAACATATTTCCAAGCACGTGCGGGATGAAAACAAGAAATAACGGAAAGATATTTAGAAACAAAGTTTGAGGAGAGAGAAGGGTTGCTTGAAGCATCCCGAGTGTTTTATTTACTGGGGTTTGAGATGAAATCTTCCCAATTACAGTAGTTTGTGGCCTCGCAGTAGTACTAACAATCTAGTAAGAGTTTCAATCGTTCATGGAATATTCCCTTTATTCTTTTTTTACTTCCTTTTTCTTTTTATTCAGTATACAAATGTACTGTTAATTTTCATACAAAGGGTGCCTCGGGAAAATACAGATATAGGGAAGACGGCGGTAGTGGAGCGGTTTGAACTCAGAACTTCCGGGTAACAATTTGATGACCTAACCACTTGGCCACCACAGCCCGAAAGATTTTGCAGGAGCTTCGACAAATAAAAGGATTCAAATTCAGAAGAATAGTGAAAAATAGTACAGAAGCACCACAATGGCTTAACCGAGACATTGAAAAACCGAGTGATAACATGCATTTGAATGAAAAGTGCAACCATAGGGGATCTGGTTTCTTGTATGTAAACTACAGCAGATTATTGGGTAAGTTTACAGACTACTCTAGGTGTTCCAGACTAGTATTTGCAGCCAACTGTAGGGTATAAAACGTCCGAGCTCTGGGCCGAACGCTTCTGAACAGGACAGAGAATTTGGGTGATTTTTCAATCGTTTTGGTTGAGATTCACCTCTGACAGTCTGGAATTGGAGGTTTGTCAAGTGCTTTATTCGCAATCGAGTTGTCCCCCCAGATATGAAAGTAGTACCACATTTTAAAAGTAACAAGGACACTATGGTGACCAGCAGAATTGAAAGAATGAGAATAATAAGTTTCTTACTGTTTCACCTCACGAATACTGTAGGACGAGTAGGCAGGAAGAGGAGCCGATAAGTGACAAATGAACACGCTAATGCGAGGAATCACATGAATTCTTTACTCCAATCCGTTTTTTCTCTCCACCGAGAACCCTGATGTTCTATCACGGACGCTTGCTGCTGCTACTTCTCAGAATTCGATTGAAGAATAATTAATCTCAGTGATATATTTAGATTTTCCTAATTTCAGACAAATGCGCACAAATCAACTAATATAGGACCTGTGATCATTTCCCATTTGTCCCGCAACAACCCCCTTTGGACGAGGAAGAAGCTATCCTACTGTCAGAAGCTCACAGAATTCTAACTGGCATTACTTGTCTCAGAAAAAAAGATACATAATTGATAAATGGCAAAGGAAAAGACGTAACCGATGAACAAGTCGTTCCAAGCGATTCACTGAGAAGGGAGACAGATGGCTGCAAGCGAGAAGGTACGACAAAAAAAATCGGAGATTATTAGATTGAGGGTAAAGTTTATGGGCATATTGAGTATATTTAGGGTATAACTAACACTCCAGTCCCAGTGCAGACCCAGTAGAGTCAGTCTTTCGATGATGTAGTTAGCTGAATTCATATGGAAACGCCACCTTTTCCAATTTTCTCTGCTTGCGTCGAACTAAAGACATTCATAAGTTTGACATGTGACAGCCAACTCCGTGGTGGGTCCCCGATAGAACACACGATAGGCAGGCTGGCGTCACATCACAGAGAACTCTTTTGGTGTTGGAACGGCAAAACAAAAGCATCATGGTTGGACCTCAACGATAAGATCACACACACGATAAGATCACAATTGCTACTCAACTGAATTTATTAGTCGTTTTTGGATTTAAACACGAAAAACTTAACCGATTGATCGACGTTGTTACCAATAAGATGAGTGAAATGAGCATCACGGTCCTACTCTTTTTGTCCGCGAGTCTTAAACGTTCATGACGAATAGTTGTAGAAGAACTGAGTGGAGTTTCCCTGAGAAAGAAATAAAACCACCTTCAAGATGTGTCATCTGATACATTTATTGACGGGAAAGAAAGAAATACCTTAAAAGGAATAAAAATGTGATCTTTGCTCCAAAGACACCCAGACAGAGGGTTATCCAGCAACTAATTCAAAGCGGGTAATATAAATTCCGTGGGACATGAGATAGCATTGGCAGTTCCGTGAGGGAAATCACCCAGAAGATCTCCAACGCCATCATCGTAGCAATCGATCAGTTGTAATTGTGGATTCACACAGACTCGTATTTCCAACAACTGAGCTGTTTTTTTCTGAACGTGTCAAGAGGTGTGGCCGTGGGGGGGGGACGGAATAATGAGATTGGTATTGGAATATGAATCATACAATCCATCAGCAGTTACAGATCATTCAAGGCAAACATTTGTAGTATGAGATTTTCAAAGTTTGGTATAAAACATATTATCAGCAACAAATGTGACAAATACGATCATTTTAAATGTTTCATAATGATTTCAGTACAGGAAGAACATCTATTTAGAATATTGTGTTTGGTTTTCATTAGTCATGTCTTACTGCGGACAGGCGTTGGACAAAAGAAGAGCGAGCAAACTAAGCGCTCATCTTTTCTGGGTTACAATTTTCCCCTTTAGGATGCGGATTTCGTCAAGAACAACTCGTGAAACGTGTGGTTATTTCACAGTACCAATTACCAATCAGATGTCCGGCAAAGAGTACTTAATTGCTTTGCACAATTACTTTCAAACTTGCTCAGGGGCTGTGAAGGAAAATGTTTAGCACCTCCGCTATGGTAAAAAAGCAAAACCGCATGTGTTTAAACTAGATTACTTGGACGCAGTAAAGGAGTTGCGACGTTCCAATACACATGGTCTCCACAAGGAATGAAACGTTGTGAATTTCTGTGCACAGTCTCTACTAATCTGTTCTTTCATTGGCAAACGGATGTGTGCAGCTTTTTTACCAGTTTCAGTTCTTTCGGTAAAGAACTTCAGGTATTTTTTATCACATGGTCCCTTAATCTCTCCAAGTGTTCATTTATGAGGCAAGTATTTCAAAATTTCTCAGGTTCTCAATAATCATGATCTCTGTTTGATCAAACAAAGTTGGAGGTTTTCTCCGGCGTAGCTTGTTAAAAACATGATCTAGTGGATAAATTGTTCATTCCACACCTGTTCTCATGTGTATAGAACATCTAATCCACTCGTCAGCACAAGTTCGTACTCATGTGACTGGTCCATGTGAAACTGCTCATCCGGTTGTAATTGTGGGTTCCCTGCTATCCGAATGAACTTATGAAATACTGACGAACCATTTCGTGGAAAACATTCTGCTCAACTATCACGATGTTGCAGACGAGCCCTGGAAAACCACATGGTTTTGGCATGAGACCCTTCATCTATTCTTGGTCAAGCCCCGGCTTTTATAGACGTCTGTTTATATGCAACACCCAACTACGTGCAAGGTTCTCAGGTTACAGATAGAACTTTGGATTAACACATTTCAAACAGCTCCTGTAATGTATGACAATATGATCAAAATAGGAATGGACCACATATCCTGAGAGATGTCTTTCAGATTCCGCAACCCCATCGTGTCTTTATGCATTCTTCAGAGTATTTGAATTGTTTTGCTAGTTGTGTTTGATATACCCATCTATGCTAATTTGAAAAGGAACGATATGAATTACTTTTCAACGTAAAGAAGTTAATAAGGTGCTCCTTTGACACACACAACCTTGTTACAAACAGAGGGTACAAGACAAACAAAATACATACTGGCTAACTTGATTCCGTCTGGATACATATCTACTATAATTTTTGCCATACATAATAAAAACTAAATTTTCGGCATCTCTGTCTTTCTAAGCACGTAGCGCCGATCGGACAGCATGGATGTATTAATATGCAACCGAAGAATAGCACATACATTATGCAAATCGGAACTTTCAATTTATTTGTTCATGTTTATTGTGGAGAAAGCAACATTCTCATGTTCCTTTCCTCCATTATTACATCATCACGCACTCTTGATCAAAAATAGATCCGAAAGTGAACTTTATATCTGTCACTTGCGTTCACGGTCCACAGCACGACCTTTGCTCCCTTGAGTACAGTCGATTACTCCACGTCATCTTCTACATCCTCCCGAGTGGGCGGAGTGAAATCAATAATTATGCAATACACCGCAGTCAACCTCCAAAGATACAGACATATGAGTTCCAAGCCATTCAGTTTTGATGTGACACTGATTGCTTGTGCTAGCCGGGGTAACGTGTACGACCAAGAGACCCGAAAATCCCAGTCTGGGTTGTCAATAGCTCTGAACTAGCAAGGCTGAAACAGTCGTCCACGGGCTCTTCAGTGTTATGCGACACGTTCGCGTTATATGAAGAATCAATTTTAAAACAGATAGTCTCATACTATTCATATAAGTATAATTATTCGTCACAAAGCATAAAGAAATACAAAAACAGTGCCTCACCAAATACGTGTTTTTCTCACACTCACTTTGCACTTAAGACAGCTCAGAATAGGACGCACGCCCAAGTGTTTCTTCACCGCCTGAATGACATTGCTGCGCTGAAAACAAACCGAAAATCGCGGTG